ACATTCACTAAGGCTTTCAATGATTTCAGCGACATGATAAACTTTTTGTTTGCAGGTTTGAGGAGGTCCGGCAAGAACATACTTTTCCATCTCCGGCGTTTCTTTGCCACCAACGAAAGATCCAACTGATTGGTCAGTGTCTGCGTATTCAACACTTATGTTACTTTCGTCAGAAGAATCAATATCATTTTTAACGGAACCTTTAGGCTTTTTAGTCTTCAGTTGGATTTTTTTTTGTTAATATTTTTTGTATTTTTGTTCTTACGAGCATTTTTTTTTACCTAGAAACTGAATGTTTCTTTTTGCCGTTTGAGAGTTTATTGTAGACGCTTTTTCTTCCATCCGTTTTTTCTCACACGAACTTGTCAAAATTCGAGAGCAGCCAGATCGAGCAGTGGTTTTAGAAGCATTTAAACGGGAAATGGGACGAATTTGTTCTGGTGTTCGGGAAACAGGTGCACTAACACTTTGATCTAGCTGAAGTGGGTCTGTAATATTAACAATATTATAAGGCTGAAGCCGAAGAGATTCAGTCAAACTATCGTCATCCGTATGATCAGCCGGAGCGAACTCATCTTCGCTAAAATTTTGGGAGTTGAAAGGATATATTCCTGTTGACTGGAAACCACTGATTATATGTTCTGATCTGAATGCTCTTTGGAATGGTATGTTAGATAGGTGGGCAACTTCGTATATCGTTATTCTCTTTCCTGGATTGTTTGTCATAAAATCAGTAAAAGATGTTTGAAGAAATTTTTTACATGGTCCGTTAACTGACACGTCAAGTGGCTGGAGACGGTGCGAAGTATGAGGGGAAAACGAATATAGATATATTCCATTATCCCGTGAATAATTGATGCAGTCAATGCTGCAGTGAGATGAATGGTTGTCGAGAAGCAAAAGAATCGGTTCCTCTTTAGAACATTTTGTGTTATTTTGAATGTGTTTAAGAACGTCTATAAATAATTCCGACATCATCCAACCACCTTTACCCGAAACACATCCATTTGAAAATTGGGAACTTTGTCGTAACCGTGGAAAAACGTAGGCGGATGGAAGCCGATTTCCACGGGCGTTGATTATTCCTACAAGGGTGACCAAACTGCCTCTCTCAGCTGAAACAGCTTGCCTAACCTGTCGTTCACCCTTCGTTGCAATTATTTGAAAAGCACCTCGAATTTGTTAAACATTATAGCTAAAATCGTTAATTAAATCACAAACCTTTGGCGAATCAACGACGGTCGTAATACCAGTTTCATCTCATCATTTGGTTGAAATGAATACGCCTCATAAAGTTTTTTTAAGTTTAAATAAAATTCGTCGACAGGGTTTTTTGAGAAACCTTTTAGTCTTGCTAAGCTAGTTCGCTCTGGCTTACGAAGAGTCTCCAGGTAAATTTTGACTGGTACATAGCGTCTCCAGCCGTGTGACCGACTAAAGGATCTTGTTTCTTTACTCGGAATTCGATGGTTTGTCGTTTTAAATWATATTTTTTACCTGCAGACGTTGGCGTTTCTACACCGTTTAAAATATCTGCAACTGCCTTTCTCATCTTGCTTTCGTCAATATTCGATTGTGCTTTACTCTTATAATTTCAAACCATTTTTCACTATCTATACAAATCTATAAAAAAAAAAAAAATTATACGGAGCACCTTCGGCGAACTTGTATTTCTGCCCGGGGCACATTCGGCAAAAATATAGGTTCGCTAAAGGCGCCCCAACACAAAACGCTGTATCTACCCCGGACGTTCCCATTTTCGTTTTCCCTATTTTATTTTAAGTAACTCACTCTTTTTATCCCTTAATCACACTTTTTCACAGAGTTAACATTCTCACCTTTTAGTTTTGACCAAAGTTTAAAAAAGAAGTGAAACACAAAAGGGTTTAATACACTTTTATTTTAGAGTCGAAAACACTATCAGCACTCCCGAAAACACAAGAGCACATGTAAATTTGTCGAATGCATAGAGAGAGATGTGAGACTACAAATCAATATTTTTTATGAGTGGTGGATAAGTGTTCGCTACTTTATGGTCAATGCAGATTGTTCCTTCATACCGAAAACGCGATTGCCGAATGTACCCCAAAGCCGAAGCTACCCGGGTCTCCCCTATATATATGTATATGTACTTCTCTTACAATTGTTAGCTATTTGTCACAAGGCGTGTCGGTGCAGAGCTTTGTAAGGAGCTATAAGTTAGGAAAGTCAACGGTACGCGAAATCATATTAGAGACGTGTGAAGTAATCTGGCAGATACTTTCCCCAATTTATGTAAGCGAGCCAACAGAGTCTCAATACAAGGACATTGCAAAAGATTTTTATAATATGTGGAACATTCTGAGTTGTGTCGGTGCAATTGATGGGAAGCACGTTGCTATTAAGTGCCCGGCCAATTACAATTCGCTGTTTTACAATTATCAAAAATTCTTTAGCATCGTTTTGATGGCTGTATGTGATGCGAAATATACGTTCACAACAGTTAGTATTGGCAGCTATGAAAGTCAAAGTGACGGAGGTACTGTACATTAAAATGTTTAACATTATAGTATAATTCATTTCTGTTATTATTTATGCAGGAATCTTTCGACTTACTCCATTTGGCCATGCACTAATACAAAACACTCTGCCTTTGCCATCTCCTGTGCCACTGTCTGACGTTTCACCGGAACCTTTTCCTTACTTTTTCGTTGGAGACGCTGCATTCCCATTACGAAATAATTTAATGCGCCCATTTCCAAGATCTAATCTAACACACACGAAACGTATTTTCAATTATCGATTGTCACGCGCTCGTAGAGTCATAGAAAATTCCTTTGGTATATTGACTGCTCGGTGGAGAATTTTGAAAACAAGGATTGAATGTAATCCAGAAAATTGTGCAAAAATTGTGATTACTTGCATAGCCTTATACAATTTTATAATGTTGAATGATCACAATCGCTGGTTTTGTCCGGAGAACTATGTATATCGAATGGAAGGACATAACATTGTTCATGCCGGTAAGTAGCACCGGAAATGAAAACTTTTTATGACCAATGCGAACTTCGGTGCCTAGAGGTCCCTCAAATGGGTTTAACTTAAGGGAGAGACTTGCTAACTATTTTATAAATGAAGGATCTGTACCATTCCAGAACAATTTACACTCTATTACAGGAGGACCATATGCTCCTGGAGGACCTTATTAGAAATAAATACCTTTTTTTTTTAGTTCATGAGATCGTTTATTTCATTTTTTTTTTTAACTAAAAATAAAAGCATATKTTTGGAATTATTTATATTACAAATTAATTATTTCACAAAATATAAATAAAGCTGAAATAATAATTTAAAAATAAATACTTCATAACTCTTTATTAATTAACTCTCTATTATTAATATTATTAAATGTTTTATTAATATTATTCTCTCTGAACTTCAAACGCAACTTGTAACATTTTCTCCACTACCCTTGCTTGCTCTTCTTCGTCCATTTTATTAAAAATGGACGTCATTAAAGTGCTGAACGCCTGCACAGCCGGGTTTGCGGTTTGTTGGTGTTGGATTTGCTGGGTTGTTTGCGTTGATGAGCATTTATTCTTAAAAAGCTCGATGGCTTCAATTATTTTCCGGTCAACCTCGCTAGTAGACACAGATGACCCTCGCTTTCTACCCTTTTTGGTAGCCACCTGAGTAGAGCAGGATGCTGAGGGAAGCGAGGTTGATGTAGAAGAAGGAGTCGGGGATGGTATGCTCAGCGCCACGGGGAAAGGAGGCGATGACGACGGCAGCGATATTGTAATTGGGGTTAATGGTGACCATAACGGTGATGCCGATTCCACCTCCTGCGCTTCTCCATGTGGCTGCAATTGTGTTTCTTCAGCTGCTGATTGCAACTGACGCTGGTCAGTGACAGCGGTTTCACAAATATTTTGTGAGAATCTAACCCTGTAAATTTAAGTTTTTATTACAAATACAAAAATGTATATTCAATTAATATACTAAAACTATAAAACTATAGTCTCAACTAGAGCTATTAATTTCTCGTCGTCCACATTTTCTTTCTTTCCACACGTGTATTTTCCTTTTTGAATCCAATAAATTTTTCATTTGACGTTGGCGCTTGTTTACATTTCAACAATGTTGCCATTGCTCAATACGCACATATAGTTTTGTACACATCTATGTTTTCAATTACAATTTCTTATAATATAAAATATCAAAACTGAAAACAAACTAATAAAAATAGTTTATATATTTATGAATAATAACACTCTACTCTGATTTTGAGTTATTTTAAGAAAATTTCAAACAGAATGAACTATAAAAGTTCATAATTACTACAGTATATAGATATTGGCCACCCTGGGTTGTGAGAGAGCAATAGCTGACACGTTTAGACGGCAAAAACCAAAATGCTGTAGATTCTCACGTCATCCGACGTCAAAGAGAGAATTGAGTAGCGTTTTTCAATGGGCACTTACATTGCGCGCCCATAAGATAGGTCGAATCAGCTGACACGACCCACCATTCTGCGTTTTTGACTGTTCCTGCTATGACTTATTTCTGTGAAGAAGCATCAAAAAGTTGTTAAATTTATGATTTTTAGCTTTTGCCATCGTCACGAAAAGACGCTTGTAGGCAAAGACATGCTCGGGGAGATGTTACGGTGTCTGTTTATGAATGAAGCGAGGCCGCTTGTAGAATTTGCGCCTGCCTTTATGAATGAAATTGTGTTTTTTTTGGAAAATTTACTACATTTGGGCTTCGCCAATCCGGTTGCCAAATTGACTTTTGATGCTTCTGCTATTTGAGCAATTGCTGTGTTTGTAGAACAGTGCTTAAATTTTTTGTTGGTGAGATATTCACATGTGTACACATGCTTGTGCATTATTTGTTCGGAAGTGTATACAAATATATGTATGTACATATGCATATGTAAGTATGTAATATATGAATGTATGAACAAGCAGATTAATGCGCGCACATGCCGATATATGTATTTATTTATTATTGTTGTGATAAATTCAATTTCTATTACTACTATTAGTATAGTATATTATATAAAAACCAAATAAAATTATTAAATATTCAATGCCAAATTGATTGTAAATAGTACTATGCATGCATTCATACAAAATTATACTCATATCATAATTATTTTTACATGCCAATATGGAAATGCCGTGCGAAGCCGGGACGAGCTGCTAATATTACTATATACCGAATTTGGTTGAGTAGATCCTGAGATACGGAGTTTGACATTAAAATGAGCGGTGCCACGTCCATCGAACATGATGATTTGATGAAACTCACCTGTTCCATTTCGTGTGTATTCTGGTACCATGATTTATAATTGCTGTTTGTAGTGTATATTTAGATAGAGTTTAAAAATTTGTTACATGGAAAGTAAGCTTGCTTGTCGCGCCTTGACACTTCGACACAAAATTTGATTTACTGAGTGTATAAAAAAATTCTAAATATACATATTCCCTGCAGTTTTTGTTGAGGTAGCTGTAGAGGTTTGATAGATATGTGCATTTAACCATTAAGAGGGCGGGACTACTGCTTACCTTCAGATCGCAGTCATCGCCCAGTTTCAAAGTCATAACTCCAGAAATTTTATAAAAAAAAAACCGATTAATCGAACAATAATAACCTTTGAAAATATGTCAAAAAAGTTGACTCACATAATGATCTACTCCTGCCGCTCATCGTGAGATAACACAGAGGCTCGTTTTAGTTCTTGAACTGGTAACACAGCGCCTGTCGCAGCTTCATCCGAATAAATGTTGAAACATTTAATTCACAACTGTTGTAATTACAGAGGACAAAATAAAGTCCGATTCCGAAATTATAAATACTTTTTTTGCGTTTTGTATTATGTTTAAAGGTTAAGTGCTCAGGTAAATGGTGAGTGATAAAATCAATGAAAAAAAGCTCTATAAGTGCTCTGTATTTATACTCATATTCCAAGGTAAGTAGACAACTAAGAAGTGAAGTCCTCTCTAGATGAACAAAGGCCGAACTCTACAAGTCCTTTATCGTTTCCGATCTGCTAAACATTTGTTGCGGACGCACTGTTAGGTTAGATTAGGTTAAAAAGTCGATCCTTGGAATGTTATTACTTTTACAACTTAGAACGATAATCAGTTGTGATAGCTTCTTCTTCTTCTTAGATCGCTTACGCGATTATAGCCGAGTTAACAACAGCGCGTTTCTTCTCTTCGCTACTTGGCGCCAATTAGATATTCCAAATGAAGCCAGGTCCTTCTCCACTTGGTCCTTCCTCTACTTCCCCCGGCGGGTACTGCGTCGAATACTTTCAGAGCTGGAGTGTTTTCGTCCATCCGAACAACATGACCTAGCCAGCGTAGCCGCTGTCTTTTAATTCGCCGAACTATGTCAATGTTGTCGTATATTTCGTACAGCTCATTGTTCCATCGAATACGATATTTGCCGTGGCCACGCGCAAAGGACTATAAATCTTTCGCAGAACTTTTCTCTCGAAAACATATAGCAGGACGGGAATTATGAGTGACTTATAGAGTTTGGTTTTTGTTTGCCGAGAGAAGACTTTGCTTCTCAATTGGCTACTCAGTCCGAAGTAGCAACCGTTGGCAAGAGTTATCCTGCGTTGGATTTCCAGGCTGACATTGTTGGTTGTGTTTACACTGGTTGCAAGATAGTCGAAATTATTTAGGTCTTCAAAGCTATGACTGTCAACAATGACGTGAGTGCCAAGTCGCGAGGGCGACGATAATATATATAATATATAAGCTCTTAAATACTGGATCATAAGATCCTTATTGATCGACAAAGCGCCTTAAGCCTGTCACAAATTTGTTGGGGTGGCTAATATCAGTTTTGACTATGCCTTATGGTTTGCTGAAGGTAAGATTACCGAAATGTTTGATAATCAGCCTAGCAAAGACTGAATAGTGGAGAAATTGCATGAAAGATTATCAACTGATAAAACGTTAAGACTTAGGTATGACTGCCTATTGGACGGTGTCCAATAAGAACTCTTACAAACGCGGTAAGATGTACTTTGATCAAGACAAGTTCTTCAGTATCTCTTACGCTGTAATTTTCCCTCCTTCAATCCATGAAAAGGTCAATGCGTCACTTCTCCCCATCCACATAACCCGAGTGAGAGTCTCAATCACTTCACAGTAATATCAGGAATGTCCACGGGCGCTATAATTAAAATATCACTTCAGTTACTTTGTAGACGGTATTTAGGAAATTTCCGTAATGACCCGATAGCTCCGATCATCGAGTTCTTTATGGATGTTGTTAAGAACCAAAACCCAAAACAGTGCGGACAGACTGTTCTGTCGTAAGAAAGACCATTCCATCTGAAAAATTTCCAGGGCTTAAGCTACTTCCTCCAGCAAATTCCTAATCCATAAACGCTCTCTCCAACCAATAAACTACTTCGTGCATAGCATCAAACAACACCTGAATGTAAACAAGTATCCTCTGGGTAGCCAAAGAACATCCGTTTGAAGGCGAGCTAAAGTGACAAGGACTGAAGCGAGTAGGACCTTGTGGTATTTACAACAGTGGCCATCTAAAGGTGCGAAAATTCGGTGGAGGATTCTTGGTGGGAGAACGTCTAGCCACAATTCGCATCAAAGAGAAGTTCTTTAACATATCGCTGATTTGCGCACATTCTCCGAAGAAAGGGAAGGACCATGTGATCAAACATGCTTTCTATGAGCGCATGAAGGGCATCTATGAGAGCTGGCACAACAGTAAATAAATTCAGCCTCCACGAGCAAACATACTGAAATGGGTTGAGGCTGATCGACTTGTCGGGGTCCGAAATATGGTCAAACGCAGTGTCTTTGGATTGAAAAGCCACCAACCAGATCGATCATGTTGTGATAGACGGAAGACACGTCTCCAGTGTTTTAGATGTGCGTACGCTTCGAGATTCTAACATCGATTCGGACTACTATCTTGTTGCAGCCAAGATTCGCACCCGCCTCTGTGCAGCAAAAAACGCAAGTCAACAAACGCAAGGAAGGTTCGACGTCGAGACGATACAAAATCCAAAATGCGTGAGTACAGAGAGTTTGAAAAGGTGGTGTAATGCTCTAAGAAAAAATATGCGGGACCTACAGATGGTGTTATGACCGGAACATATCCTTGTAGAACGTGATCTGGTGACTGATGCCCAGAGCAATGTAAAATTATGGAGAAACATTTCCCCAGCCTGCTGAATTGCATTGTTAGTATTAAGCCAGGAGAAGGCGACTCCCCAATCGATGGCGATGGAGGAGACTTTCCATTGCCCGACTATGGAGAAGTTCGAAGTTCTTCCACAAAATAGAAGAACCCACAATCTGTGCCAATTGCCGTGGTATATGCCTCCAAAGCACCGCTTATAAGGTTCTACCGAACGTATTGTGTGAATGATTAGAGCCCACCGTCAACAAACTGATTGAACTTTATCATTGTTACTTTAGACCCGGAAAATCAACAAGCGACCAGATATTCACCATGCGTCAAAAGAGAATCGGCACACACCATATTTTCGTCGATTTCAAAGCTTCTTTTGACAGCATGAAAAGGAGCGATGTCTGAATTTGGTATCATCTCAAAACTAATACGTCTGTGTAAACTGACGTTGAGCAATCCGAGCCGATCGATACGAAACGAAGTTTCAGACAAGAGGACTCCCTATCGAGAAACTTCTTCAATCTGCTGTTGGAGAAAATAATTCGAGCTGGAGATTTTAATCGAGAAGGCACAATCTTCCATAAGAATGTACTGCTGCTGACGTATGTCGTTTATATTGATGACCAATGATGACCTCAACGCCCGCTCCGTTAGTTCTGCTTTCTCCAGACTGGACAATTAACCAAAGCAAATGGGTCTGGCAGTGAACGAGGATAAGACTCCTGTCATCAAACAAACAGTCGTCTCACTCACTACTTGGCTCTCATGTCAAGTCGTAGATAATTTCGTTTACCTTGGAACTAGTATAAACACCACCAACAATGTCGCCCTGGAAATCCAACGCAGGATAACTCTTACCAACAGGTGCTTCTTCGGACTGAGTATTCAATTCAGAAGTAAAGTCCTCTCTCGACGAATAAAAACAAAACGCACCGGTGAAATAGGGTTTGTAAATTTAAGAAAATTAAAATTTCTAATATATGTATTTAAAACGTCTTAAAAATAGTCATCCAAACCGTGATAAAAAAGGTATAAAGCAATTTCCAAGCGAAAAACTCGTTTATTGTTTGGGTTTTTTCATTTCAAAACATAGACCAAACTAAAGTTTTACTTCTACTTATTTGTCAGAGAGAAATAATTCTACCCATCGTGGTAATGAAAAAGCCGCAGAATGTATATTTSTGGTATAATATTTCAATTTCATGTTTTCTAATTCTGCTTCACTAAAATTGTGTAACGAGGTTTTGAAATTTGTATTTGAATCAAGACAACCAATCACGAAACCAATATGTCCACATGGATAAGATGGAATTGATGTATGAGCGTATGATACTTTGGTAAAATGCTTTTTACATCCATCCATAATCTTTTTAACATACGCACAGTTCAACCAGAAGCTTCCTCCCTGGGAACACACTATGCCCCCTGGCCGCAACGCATTTTTCATGAGTTCATAGTAACTTTCTTGAAACAATGATTCTGCAGGACCAACAGGATCCGAACTATCAGTTATAATTACATCGAATTCATTTGCATGTTCTTTCATATATTTAAATCCATCTCCAATRGTAAGCTTAACTTTGGGGTTTTTAAATCCGCAGGCCATATTTGGTAAAAATTCTTTTGATAACTCAACTACTCTTTCATCAATTTCTACTTGATGAATTTCTTCAACTAAAGGATGTTTCGAAACTTCTCGCGCAACACCTCCATCACCACCTCCCACAATAAGAACTTTTTTCGGAGCAGGATGGCTATTTAACGGTAAAAGTGATATCATTTCTTGGTAGGAAAACTCATCCCGAGTAGTGCACTGAATAATTCCATCCAAAACTAAACATGTCCCATACGTGGCACTGAAAGAAACAAAACAAAACTATTTTTAAAATACACTGCACATAACTCGTCTATGTAGTCTTAGAATAAACCAATCTTTAGTTCTTGTTAGCCCCAAAATTTTAATTTTAATTGTATAGTTTTGTTTTTAACATTTATTTTGAATCGTTGCTTTGGTTGTCATCTAAATTAACATCATATTCGTCATAATTTTTATTCAAATTGCCTGTTGCTATTACTAATTTGGTGAAAATATTCTATTCACTTGAAAGTTGCATTTCAGGATAAGCAAGTATTAAATGAACTTCAACGACATATGCACATTCTCTTTCAAAAGGGTTTCCATGAGGATATTCACATATCTATCTACAAAAATTAATTATCATTAAGTAGATTATGTCCATACTTTTACCGTTATAGTAATTAAGTTTAACTCAACTTCAAACCATTGCTGTTAAATTATAATTACGATTAGTAATCAATTAGATTAAATTTGAAAAGGAATGGTATTGATTACATAATTCTGTTTTTAACAATTCCTGATTATTAATTAATTATGATTACGAATAATCCAAAAATAATTAAGATTAGTTAGGATTACGAGAAAATAATCAAAAATAATCAAAAGTAATCAAAAAAGTAATCGGCTACTTTCAAGGATTATTTTTGATTRTTTTCGATTATTTTTAAAAAAATTTGAAAGCTCATCATTTTATACTTACATTTCGTTTTGAAAAATTTGCATGGAAAACAAATAAAACAAAATTAGATAGTTTTTGTATACAAARTAAAGGTGGTACGTGGAAAAATAATAAAGGAAACAAATACATTCAATTCACAAAAAAACAGTTTTATAATTTACATATATTTACAATTGGCTTTCATTACAACTAATTTTTCAAAAGAAAAATCAGACAATGATTGTCGCCTTGGAGTGTTGACGATCCCGGCAAATGAAAACAGTCGTTCAACTGGAGCTGAAAACGTTAAGGGCGTGTTAAAAAAAATAAATGCCTCCCTTAATAAATCATATTTTTGGTAAATCTCGTCAGCACTTGCATTGTCATTTAAATAGCTAAAGAACTGTATGTTACATACATATGTGCAATATCTCTAGCTTATAAGGAAAAGCTAAGCCGACGATACGTAAGCATGCATAAGTTAAGTGTTAGTTTRTAAGTTTGTTTGTAAMATTGAACTAATGYTACT